TATATATATATATATATATATATATATATATATATATATATATATATATATACACACACACACATATATTATACCTCAATTTTTAATTCTGCGCATTCTTCATTTTTTTTCTTCGAGATCATCGATTTATTTTAATATTATATTTTATAGTATAGACTTGACTAAAAATATACATATACTTACGTAAATCAGGATAAGAGTGAGAATATTTACGAATGTGAGATGAATAGGTGATGCTGCATATAATACGTGTAAATAACTTTTAAATTTGCTTTAATAAAAACTTGGTCACAATTTTGAGGCAAATACTTTATTTCAACGAGATAAGCCTTCTTAGTGACCAACATATATGATAAATGTTTTAACAATATAATAATAACAATGTTAAATAATAATAATAGTACCACGGTAGTTGATTGATTTATTAATTCATTGCGCACTTTGTTATGTTATCTACTGTATAGCAATTTATTGTGTAATTATTTTAGTAAGTATAATCACTTATTCTTTATTTAAATAGTTGTGCGGTAACTGATTCGTCATTTTTTAAATTTTGTAAGTTATCTAACTACGTGAACTAAGCCAACTTGTTAAACAAAGAGCACCTCTATTGAATGATATGTTCTCTATCTTTCTAGCGTCCTAGTTTCTTACCCTAATGTTTTTGAAACGAATAATCAATAAAAAAGTCCTTACGACTCATGATATAGAGAATTTATTATTTACATCTATAGGCTATATGTTTTATCTGAAATATTATGTATAAGATAGATAAAATATGATCAACTTATTATATTAGTTTATTAATCCGATATATATTCGATCGAATTTGCGCTCGTTCTCTTTCCAATATGATTTAGAATTGACTGGTTGGCATCTATGTTACAAAATTTGTTGGTAACAATGATATTTTGAATTTGAACTATCAAAACTATAATGGCCGTTTACTGTGCTTAACGTACATCAACAGGTTAACCATTCTAATTTCAAAATGACGATCTCCTTGCAAAATATAACATTTTGTAATTTTAAGTCATATATAGGAGAAATAATAATGGGTCCGTTTCACTCATTTTTGACGATTGTTGGACCCAATGGATCCGGTAAGATTTTACTATCAATCTTTTTTTTAGAATATTACATTCATGTAATCAAAATTCTAGTCACTTTCACATATTAAATTTATAAATTAAATTATCCTGTTTAAAAATTTGTTTAATAGATCGATTATTTTCAAAGGATTAATTTTTTCTTTATATTTCTCTCTTTAATATTTTATATTTTTTCTTTGACTCTTTTACTTTCTCTAAATATACATATATATATGTGCTTTATTAATGTATTTTAGGAAAATCAAATATTGTTGACGCTGTGCGTTTTGTATTGGGAGATGTGTTGAGTGCTTTACGTGTTAACCGATTCAGCGAACTTGTTTGTAGAAATCTCTCTGGGAAACCAACGACAGGAAGGTAATATTTATCCTTATTTTTCAATTAATTTCTATTATTTTTTTCCATTATTCGCAATCGTTTGATATTTATGTTGTAGTACCTATGTAACATTAACCTTTCTGATAGACAACAATGAGGAAAAAAGTTTCACAAGGATGATACAAGGAGAAAATAGTCAATACAAAATAAATAACAAGGTAAAGTTCTATATAATTATGTATACATAATGTATACTAAATTAATTTATATTATTTTATCTTATTATATCACTTGCTTTGTTATATACTATATTTTTCAGATTGTCACGAGTAAATTTTACATGACCACACTACAAGAATATGGTTTGGATATAAAGTCAAATCACTTCCTCGTATCTCAAAACCATGTAGAATGTATTGCAATGAAAACACCAAAAGAACTTACTGCAGTTTTTGAACGAATCAGTGGTTCATATATATACAAAGCAGATTACAAGAGGTATATTTCTTTTTTCGCTGAATCCTACAAGTTTTATAAATTTTAAGTTGTTCAGATTTATTGAGTGTTTATATTATGACAGATTAAAGATGAAAGTTGCACAAATGGAAGATAAAATTCATTTTACACAACACATGAAAAAGCAGCTATTAATAAATAAAAAATATACTATAATAGAAAAAGAACAAGCAGAAAGATATTTAAAACTACAAGAGCAATATGTATGTCAAGCCTAACTATTTTTGATTTGTGTAAAATTGTTTTAAGTGTTGTTTGTACTTGTATGTAATATATTTCAATAATTATAGAAGAAGGAGAAATTGCAATATCAATTAATTCGTCTGTTTCTCATTAAAAGAATGGTTCAGACTTTACAAGATGAAAGTAAAGATATCAAATCTCGCAAAGAAGAGTATTTACGTGATAAGAGAAACGCGATAATTGTATTGGAGCGCAAGAACTTGCAGTCTAAGTTATTTACCACTTCTTTCGAAGATAATGAACAAAGAATTTTGGAATTGGGAAACATTATCCAAGAACAAAAGGTACAATATGCCGTTCTCAAAGAAAGTATTTCATATTGGCAGAAAAAACGTGATTGTGCTCGCATATCTTTGGAAAGCGCGAGTTTGGCACGTGACATGAACAAAAAAACTATTGAAGAACTGAAAAATGAGTTAAAACAGATAGCCAACAAATTAATAGAGTTAAAAAAAGTTTCAGAGGAGGGTTGTATAGAACTTAGTGACTCCCAGGTACTATACTAACGTGATATTTAAACTATTATAAGAGTAATGTATGTGACATAATTTTCTTTATCTTATGTTCTCTTTAAAAAAAAAATTTTTTTTCCCAGATTAAGCAGTATTTTGAACTGAAGAATATAGTTGAATATCAAGCGAAAGATTTTGTGAAACAGATAAACAATTTAACTCGCGAACAAAAAGTGGATCATGATCGCTTAGATAACGAAAATAGACGAAAACAAGAATTGGAAGATAAAGTGAAACAGACAGCGCTAGTGAAGGAAAATATGAAGACTCGTCTTAGGAAATTGCAGAACATAATAGTTGAATCCAGAGTGATGTTAACAGAAAAAGCAACGAAGAAGAAAGAACTTAATGACAAAATTACCGAGACGAATAATAAGTCATTGACTTTAAAGAACGACATTGCGCAAATTTTAAAGGAACTGAACGACGTCGATGTCAATAATTATACGACTTCGTGGCAAAAAAAGAAAATTGAAACGATCAAAATCTTAAAACAATTATTTCCTGGCGTGGTAGTTTATTTAATTTCTATATTATTATATACATTTTTCACATAGTAATAATAATAATTCTGTATATGTAATAATTTGATTTATGCGAGGTTAATGTACATTTTGTTTTTCAGCACGATCGTTTATCTAATCTATGCAAGCCTATTCATTCGCGTTACAAAATTGCAGTAATAAAAGTCTTTGGTAAGCAAATAGATTCCATTGTCGTCGATACTGTAAATACAGCAAAGCAGTGTATGGAATATTTAAAACTGCAAAAAATAGGAGTTGAAACATTTTTACCTCTTGACTCATTGAAACAAGTGGTTTTAAAAGAAAAATTACGGTAAATTATAAAATAAAACAAAAGGAATATTTATTTTGTAATTAATAATGTGTAACATTGCGTTTGTAATGTCGTTTTACAGTGATATAGGAAGATTAAACGTCAAATTGTTATATGATGTTCTGAATATTTCATCCCCAGAAATAGATAAAGCGATCCTATTTGTCACTAAAAACACTCTAGTATGCGAGACACAAGAAGATGCAAGAAGAGTAGCATACAAAATTGATAAGGAAACTAATGATGTAATAATAATAATAATAATAATAATAATAATAGAGTAATAATAATAATAATAATAATAGAGACATTATCTTTACACGTTTATCATATTATGTTTTAGTGCATCTCGTTGGATGGATTCTTTTATCGTAAAGATGGTATAATGTCAGGGGGGGTGATTGATTTAATAAATAAAGCTAAACAATGGGAAGAAAGGGACATAATTGCATTAAAAGAACAGAAGGTACTTTTACATTTTTTACATTCATAATGACAGCATTTATGTACGATGCTTTATATTATATATATAATTTCAGGAGCAATTAAAGAAAGAGCTCCAAGATTTGTCTAATGTTTCTTTGCTGCAGTCTGAACTTTGTGAAATTGATGCTCAATTTAAAGGACTCAATTTAAAAATAAACTTTATTGAAAAAGATTTAAATGACACCGTAGGTGTCCAACTCCAACAATTTATATATTATGCAATTTTTTTTCAAATTGAATTAATCAATAAAGGTAAAATTGTGTTTTTACAGGAGGATAAAATCACCAGAGTACATGAAGAATCAATTAAATACGATACGGAATTATCTTTGTTAAATGTACGAAACTGTTAAGTTTACTTTGAAGTACTTACATATATATATATATATATATATATATATATATATATATATTTATATATATATATATATATATATTTAATATATAAATATTATATATATAAAAACTTTTTTATCAATTCGTGAAGGAGTAAAACAAAGAGACATCTTCCCATACAGCAAATATCTGAAATATATCCCAGAGACGTTTCAAAGACAATGTGATATCTCTGAGATGTCTCTGGGATGTATTTCGGACATTTGTGTTGTATGGGTTTATTTCTATTGTTTGTAATTTCTAGGAAAAGATATTAAAGATTCAATGTGATATGCAAACAAGAGATGAAAAACTTGAAAACGTGAAAAGACATGTCTCTATAACCGAAAATTCAATCTTCGCTGACTTTTGCAGAAATATTGACGTGCCGGATATCGGTTATTATGAGAAGAGCCATCTGTGGTATAAATAAATTCATAAGTTTTATTGATAAATTTTTTACATATGTATATATATAAAAGGTATATTTGATGAAGTATATCTTTAGGACATATCAAGAGCAGAAGAAGAAGCAAATAGAACTAAAGAACCAACACGATCTTATCCAGAATCAATTGCATTTTGAAAAAAATCGCAATATGGAAAGTACGAACGATTATAAGTCAATTCTTGATTAATATATCAGTTTTAAAATCAACAAGATGTTCTCGTTGACGAATTTTGCACATGTTTTATTTTATGTACAGATAAAATTTTGAAGTGGATACGTATTGTGGAACAAGCCGATGCGAAGTTGGTCGAAATGCATCAGCAGGAGCTTTCTACGAAGAAAGCTGTCGAAAAAGAAGAAAAGAAACTATCGAAATTACAGGAAGATCGCGCGATTATAAAGGAAAATTTAATGAATGTAGAAAATAAAATAGCTCAATGCAAGTTACAAATCGATATTATCTCTAAGTCGTACCTGGAGACTCGGAGAACTGACATTATTGTACAAAGAAAAATAGGGCAACAAAAGGTTGCATGCGATAACATACTTAAGGAATGCAAGGTGAATATTTTAAAATCGATATCTCTGTTCTACAGAAAAAAATTTTTTTGGCTTTATATAAATTAGTTAGATTAAAAAAAACGTTGATTTAACCAACTTATGAAAACATGTGGCTCTCACAGTTGGAAGACATTACTATTCCGATATTGTCGGAGAAATCGCCTAGTAAATTGGGTCTAAGTAGTTCGAGTTCATTTACGGACTCTTCGATTGACTGGGATATGTCGAAGTCAAAAATCGATTTTTCACAGTTTTCCATAAGTATCCACGATAGTATAGAAGAGAATTTGCAAGATATAGTTAAGCAACTCAGTGAGAAGCTCACGCAAATACAAAATGAGCTTGAAGTTATAGTAAATCCAAACCTTAAGGTACGTAACATTTACATGTTACATACTTTGCAAAATATATGAATCAAATACGATTGTCAAAATCAATTTCACAAAATAAATTTTGCAGGCTCAAGAAAATATGGATTCCGTGATGCAAGAAATACAAGAGTTAAATAAGAAACTCAAAAAATTGCATGAGGAAACTAACGGAATAAAAAAGCAGTTTGAAGCAGTAAAAATGAAAAGATTCAATCTATTTTCAGAATGTCTGGATTGCGTTGCTACAGAAATAGATTCTGTATATAAAGTTAGTATATTCTGTGCAATGCTCTTTACTTTAAATGACATATCGAAATCTTTTTAATTCTATGTAGAGTTTGGTTAACTGCACGTCGGCTTCTGCTTTCATTTTACCGGACAATCCCGAAGAGCCATATGAGGGCGGAATAAATTACAGTTGCATACCGCCGTCTAAGTGTTTCCAGCCGTTACAGAATTTATCTGGAGGCGAGAAAACACTTGCTGGCCTGACATTATTATTCGCATTTCAACGGTATATTGATTATCCAGCTTTATATCGCACAGTCATGATAATATATCTAGGACGATATAGTAACGAATTAAAATTACTTGCAAAAAGAAAATAGTCGCAATGCTTCTACTTACAGTTATAAACCAGCCCCGTTTTTCATTATGGACGAAAGCGATGCGGCATTAGATAACGCGAATATAAAAAATCTCACTCACTTCATACGATCTCAATCAGACACTACTCAATTTATAATAGTAAGTTTGCAGAAGTTGTTATACTTTTGCTCGGATGCTCTCATAGGAGTTACTACTGAGGTAAGTTGATAATTTTTGTTATTTCATAAACCTCTTTCCCCATAATAGTTTATTTATTTTTTATTTCAGCCTGATGCAGAATATATCCAGAGTAAAGTAGTTGCTATTTCATTGAGAGAATATAAGGATAAGTCTGATACAAAAAAAGATGAGATTTGAATACCAATAAGTCGAACCATCAATCATAACATTATTTAATTTAAGAATTTGTCTTCAGCAAAAAGTAAACTACATTGTTTGGAGACATGTGTAACCTACTCTTTCTCAAATTATCGTATGAATTGTTAAATACTATTTGGTAAGGTATATTTATAAAACAAATATTCACATTTGAAGTGCAATACGATATTCAAAAAATCAGGTTTGATTTTGCAGGCCTCCTGTTTTTCTCTATAATATTCTTTATAATATTTGTATATGCATATACATACTCGTATATACATGTACATATTTGTGTGTTTATATATACATACTTGTGTTAATTTATTAAATATAATTTATTTTGACTAATTTGCGCATTTAATTTGTATGAAATAATATTGATTAAATAGTAGACATTAAATTATTGTATGTTGCAATACGATGTGATACAAAATAAAACACTTCTAATGTTCTTGGTATTTCATAACATATTCTTGTTTATTTTATATTTAGACACGTACAACGTTATTTGCATACGTCTCCTTCAAGGCACGACGTGGCGACGACGTCAAGTAAGAAGGATTACTACAATATTTAGAGCAATTACCATCATCACCATGATTGCATTAGTAAAACGGTCATACGCAGATCTGTAGTTTCCATCAGTGTACATCTGACGCATTCATCTCAGTTGCAATGTGACGATCGAAAACGAGAATGACTCAACGTTGATCGCAAAGGTCGAAGGCATGCGATACATTCTTGAGATCGATCGAGGAAATGGTTTGCTTATAAAAATTCAAGTTTTCCCACACCATAGTGGCGAAATATATTTTTTTTGTACGGTGTTTAATTGTTACGTTTAATACATTAATGTGAAATAAGATTGCATTGCTTCATCACTATAATTATTTTATTTTCAAAAGTTGAAGTTATCGATGGAAAGATATGGGAGTGATAAAATTTCTGTCATTCATCCTTTAAGTAATTATGAGAGCAATGTATATGAGTATATGCAAAGTTTCCAGTCGAATATCGATGGAAGTTCTAATATGACGAAATTGTACCGATTGTATCGTCCTGTAGGCAATATTAAACATAGTAGCGACTCTGATTTATAATCGCTGGTAACGAACACTGAGGTGCAGGTCAATGCAGTCTATTGCGGCTAACGCCTTGTAAAGTAAGACACTCGCTCGGGGAATGCGGCCAAAATGATGATTGTCGTTTAATAAACTTATTAAGTGGAAATGGCCGCGTCTTTCGGTATCGAGCCTCGGCGGCTACTGGCGTTAACTGATAAAAACGAGGCAGAACGCTACCGTGAAGTAGGTCGTTGCAACTCGCATTTTAATGGATCAGACGCTCGACAATACAAGGATGCGGCCGAAGTGAGACGTACTTGAATCGCTTGATATTAGAAGGACGTAACTTCGCGAATAATTCGTTATTACTACAAATCTTTTTCTGTGTGTGTAAATAAGATTTATAATAATAAGTCATATAATCGTAGCATGTATAAATAACAATCATATTTGAAAGAGTATTTACTAGAATTTTTATAAATCTCTCTCTATTAATGATTTTTGTTATAAAAAATTATATTTCTAAGTGTTAAACGGTTTTTCTTAAGTTTTTTAAAAATTATATTTGACAAAATCATGTCCTTTTAATATTGAAGATTTGCGTTAGATTAAAAAAATCTGGAATAAAGCTTTGACGGCGTGATATATCTCTCATGCAACCCTTAAGTGTAAGGTGACGACCTCCATTCCGCTGCGTCGTACCGCATCTAACAATACGCGGAATAATGGTTCTAAGCTGACAATACCGAGGCAAGCTCTCATACGCTTCCATGAACTCATCGCGACACTGTTTAACGAGGACTTTGAGAGCAGTAAATAATATTGATGATGTAAATAATTTTGATGTTAGATAATTATCGTTTAAAATATTCATTAAGAATAATCGATCAACGTGTGTTTAATTAATTAATGTTATAAGTTGTTGAATAACATTCATTGTAAATTATTATATATATCGAATGATAGCTTTGAAGAAATTATTAAGTTGTTATGTCACACATATGTAAAAGATAGATATGTTAAAGTTAGTTGAGAAAAATTACAGAAGAGCGAGATTTCACTTTTATATTTATTTTTATAATTTTAGGGTGTAGAGAGCATAAAATGATTTCCTGTCGGACTCGAGCTGATCTCATGAGGAAGCGTTTCCTTCCGTTGCTTCTTTACACTAGAGAAAATACAAAAGCCATTCATCGGCGAGTGTAACAAGGAAGGAAACGAACAAGTATACAAACCCAAGGAAAGGGGTCGCGGGGGAGGGACGACGAGGGGATGGTTGCGGGATAAGGCGGCGGGAGTACCGCGGGCGTCTCATAAAACGGAGAGGATGATGACCTCCCCTACATCATGCAGAACATCTGCTAAATAGATGATACGCCGGTTCGCACGAGTCTAGTTGTCCTCAGCCTCCGATGGAGGCGAGTCGGGACTAGGATCTGGATCTACGTTTTTTAGAGTTCGCTATTCCACCCCTACTGGAATAAGAGAGGATCGTTGATGAGGCGCCGGGCTGTAGAGCTAGCCGCAGGGCTCCTCGTGGTCCAGCTGCTGCTGCTGCTGTCGCCGTTGACGAACCAAGTAGACGCTGCGAAAAGCCGACCGAGGAAACGGTCCAAGCCTACGGGTCTGCAGGCGCAGCAACCTGGCAACGATTACTATTACGATTATTATGACAACTACGACGAGTACGAGGAGAAGAATGGTGAGTCCTATTTCCTGATTAGCTCGAAAGATTCACAATTGAGAATATGAGCCGAGAAGCGCGGCTGAAGAGAACATCGTCTGATCTCCAGACGGTTCTTTAAATATCTTTTAAATAAATCTTAGATATATTTTGAATCTTTTGCGTTACTTGAGTATTGATATAGTATTTGATATTCTCCAGTTGTATTTGTACTTTCGTAAAAGTTAAAATTCAAAAGATACTTAGATAGTATTTAGATTGTTTAGATGTCTTTTAAATATTTGTACTAAAATATATTCTCTGTGGTTAAAATACATTTTTTAATTTAATGAGATTTAAAGAAAAGCGACTGTTGTATTTTAGAATAAAGACAATATGATACAATACAGTGATAAATAAAAAAATATTATGTCCTGCATACGCAGTGTTAAACGTCGCGAAATACCGGAAGTCTCGTGTCGGAGTGCAATCTCGTTAAGACGCCGTACAAAACGATTAATCACTCATTTTAATCAGAACAACGCAATTAATACCGTTTATTTCAGCCTGTTAATTAAAATGCGATTTAATCCGACTCGCAGTTAGAGAGAATTTCCGGTCTATCAGCTTCTACTTCCTCGTATTAAAAACGCAAAAACGTGTCTTTTGTCATGAACTTGTAAATTACATTTGAGTGATTATTATTATAATAATAAGTCTTCCTTGATATAATAGTAATTTCCTGTTCTTTTCGATTATTTATTTAGGCACCACAACGACGTCGCCATTACCCGTGATACCAAGCACACGGCCTTCAGGTAAGCATGTTATTTACAAAAATCCTACATCATTTTAATACGGCAAATCCTTGTGAAGTCAATATGAAGAACTGATTGTAATTGTTAAATATAGAATCAGCAGTTGAAGGTACGCAGCCTACGTATATAGAAGAAACACCTACAGACTTGCCGGCTGCAACAACAACTCGATTTTATAACCATGGTACGTAATAATAAATTTAATAAATTTTCATTCTTAATTTTGGAGAGGATAAAAATTTATCCTTTTTAAAATACAGTTATTTCTAATATTAGAAAATTATTATTAAACTAAAAATGTGCATTACAGACTTGGAGGAAACTAATCTCACATCTGAACAGGATCATCCGGTGAGTTTAAAATAACTGACGATATGAAAAAATTTAAAATAATACAATTTATAAGGAATTATAATTTTATTGAGTTTTTTTTTAGGTACCCACGGAAATCTTACCGGGCGAAAGTAACCTATACAGTTCCGTGGCTGGTCCACGGGTAATTACAACTTCTCGTTTAAAATTATTTAATGAATAATTCTTCGGGAGAACGTTTATTGAAATTTATGAAGAAATGATTTATACGAATTAGGGTGAGCCTGGTCGACCTGGAGACATCGGTCGTCCAGGCGATGTAGGATTCCCTGGACATCCTGGTACTCCTGGAATTCCTGGACCACCTGGACCTCCAGGCCCTGTACCTGATGTGAGAAATTTATTCTTATAATTAAAAAATTATCATTTCTTATTTATATAAAATGATTATATACACTAGCAAAATTCATATTGTATTAATTTCTATATTTCGAGAGATAAATTATATATAACACATATTATATTATGTTATTATGAAATATATATCGGTGATAACAGGTATCTCTATATTATCAACAATTGGCTTTATCTCAAGCGAATCAGGATAAAGGTCCGACGGGTGCAGCGGCATCATTGTATGGTCCAGACGCGTATTCTTACATTCAAGCGCAAACCGGTCCAATGGGCCCACGAGGTCCTCCAGGTATATAATGATTCTGTAACTTTACGATTTTATCTCTTACTGTACAAAATATGATTGCATTATTTTATGTTTTTTAGGTCCTCCTGGAGCTCCTGGTCCTCAAGGTTTTCAAGGTACACGCGGCGAGCCTGGTGAGCCAGGAACTTCAGGCCCTCCTGGAGCATCAGGTCCAAGAGGTCTTCCAGGATTGCCTGGAAAAGATGTAAGATTGTAATTAAAAACCTCTGTTGTTTTAAACGAAACAATAGAATTATATATAGCTACTTGAGTAGAAAATTATATTTTAATTTTATTTAATTATTTATTTTAAAAATGTTCATATAAATTACAATATATTTCTTTTCTTAGAATCTTAGAATACTTAGAATTAGTATATTGTACTTTTTTGTAATTGTGTGATTTTCATACGAGATTATTATTAACTTTAGTTAAAATGTTGTATATTTTTCTTTAATAATAGGGTGTTAGTGGAGAAGATGGCGAGACCGGTCCCCCAGGATCGCCTGGTCCTGTGGGTTCACGTGGTCTCCCAGGAATGCCTGGACTTACAGGAATAAAAGGCCATCGTGGTTTCCCTGGCTTAGACGGAGCTAAAGGAGAACAAGGTGCTTCTGGTGAGAAAGGATCTATGGGTGCACCTGGATCCATGGGGCCGATAGGGCAAATAGTACGTAAAAAAACTTTAATAATTAATTATATAAATATAATATCATCAACATGTAATTTATAAAAAAATATTCATAAAATATATATTTTTTAGTTATAAAATAATTATTAATATTTAAGAATTTAATATTGAAAGAACAAAGATTGCAAAATATTTCTCTACATAAATATTCGTTATTATTAATATAGGGTCTAGCAGGACCACGTGGTGAAAGAGGTAGAGAAGGTCCATCGGGTCCTCCTGGTATGAGGGGCGTCGACGGAGTTTCTGGACCGCCTGGACAACCCGTGAGTGAACTATTTAAACAATATGTAATACTAATATATAAAAATTATCTAAGAAATATCTCTGAAAGAGAATAAACATCTTTTACATGTTTAAGATAATTTAAAAAATTTTTGTTTAACTATAACATTAATATCGCTTTCAGGGTGCTGTTGGTAAATCTGGGCCACCAGGCTTTCCAGGCAGTCCTGGAGCTAAGGGAGATCAAGGAGCACAAGGACCGAAAGGAAGTCAGGGCTTACAAGGTCCGCGAGGTAAGATATTTTTGATTTTGAAATAAAGATAAAAACAAATATCTTCTTGCTTAATTTTACTAAATTATAAAAGTTTATCATTTTATTATTGTATAAATACTCTTCTGTAATTTTTCTATAAAAAGAGATATAAATATTCTATAAAAAGAGATATAAGATTATATCTAAGACTTTTTTATGATCATTATGATTAACGACAAATAAATTCGATCAAATGTAGAAACATTTATAATAATAATAAGTGTATCATATTTATGAAAAAGCAACATTCATCTGACTGTTATTAATTCATATTTCCTGAGAAAGGTGAAAGTGGCCGTCCAGGACAGCCTGGTGAAACAGGTCCGCAGGGCCCACAGGGCAAAGACGGAGTTCCCGGTGAAAAAGGAACTATTGGAGCAATAGGACCTGCTGGTGTGCCCGGATTTCCAGGTGCACGAGGTCAACCCGGAATAGCGGGCAATCATGGCGTTCCTGGAGCTAAAGGAGCACCTGTATGTACAACTAACATTTTATTGAGAAATTAGAAAAATTTTTTAAATAATTTTAATTTATTAAAATTTTAATATAATAATTTTAATATAATAACTAATATAGTATATTTTAGTATAATTTTAATTATATCTTTGGAGGGTCTTCCGGGTGAAAGAGGTTTTAAAGGTGACGCCGGTGTAAAAGGAGATGCAGGAGTGCCTGGTCCACGTGGACTTCCAGGGCCACCAGGAAACGAAGGGAAGAGGGGAAAAAGAGGAATGCGTGGGCCAGTCGGTGCCGCGGGTCCTCCTGGAGAACGTGGTACACCTGGAGTCCGAGGTCTTCCTGGACCAGACGGTCCTGTCGGACCTCAAGGTACAACTTATTATTTTTATTTTAGAATATATGGGCATCATTGAAGTTGTATATATATGTACACACATAATTTTATTAATTAATGAACAAACTAAATACAAGTTTGTAATTTTAATATTTATAGTTATATTTTTTAATTCATTAAAATCTTCGCAAAAATAATTTTTACCTCTTTTTTTAAGGTGTAAAATAATAATAATAAGGTGTATAAAAATAATAAGGTGTAAAATAATAAAAGCAATATAATTAATTGTAAATAATCGCGATTATGAATTACTTGCAGGACAACCTGGTGATCGTGGTCCTGCTGGAGCGATTGGATTAAAAGGTGCCACCGGAGATCCTGGACAACCTGGATCGCCGGGACTACAAGTACATAAAAATATCTTAGCATTATTTAGCATTTATTTTTATAAATACTGTATATAATATGTAATTATACATTATGATTAAATATTTCAGGGTGCACGTGGTTTAATGGGTAGACCCGGAGCCCCTGGCAAACCAGGCAATCCTGGCGAACGTGGAATTCAAGGTGCAGATGGCAAGCCTGGAGAGCAAGGTCCACCTGGATTGCAGGGTCTGCCAGGACCATTAGGAGCGCCAGGAGAGAGAGGATATCCTGTAATTTATCGATTATATATTGTTCTTCATAAATTATAATTCATATATTTTAGTTTTGTAATATAACTTATAAAATTTATTGTGTCACACATATATAGGGAGAACCTGGGAAAGATGGTGAAGCTGGTAACCCAGGTCCGCCCGGTCCAAGAGGTGACATCGGCAAGGAAGGACCTCCAGGAGTGCAAGGACTACTGGGACCATCGGGAAGTGATGGTGCGAGAGGTCCTCCGGGGCCTGTTGGGTCTAGAGGTTTTCAAGTATGCAGCATAGAAATGTATTTACATTTCCGCGATATACAACAAACAATGTAGTAATTTACTGTGCAAATAAAACGTGCGTTTGCTTCAGGGTCTTCCAGGCACCGCCGGTAATCCAGGTGTTCCAGGCAAGGATGGAGAAGCGGGCGTGCAAGGGCCTCCTGGCCCACCGGGACCAATTGGCAACAGAGGTGAACGAGGATTTCCGGGAGAAAGGGGATCAATGGGCTCACCAGGACCTATGGGCCCAAGAGGAGAAACCGGAATGCAAGGCGCTGATGGTGTCATTGTAAGTTGTTGAATTATATATGCTGAATCATGTTCGAAGTTAAAGTGGATTAAGTGGTGATTGAAGATTTAACCTTCAAATCACAGAAAATTTTGTAACAAATACTCTTTATTTTTTCAAAACGTGGTTTTCAGACAATCTAAAAATAAATTGTTCAACTACATTTATTTTATATATAGTTTTATATTTAGAATAATAGACCATTCTTCCAAAGGCCTTGAATCTGATAAAGATAAAATTCAAATTCATAAATTTTATATATTTGCATATAATTATGTATATATTTTAGGGATTACCAGGACCTAAGGGAGACCAAGGAAATTTTGGTCCACCGGGATTATTAGGACTTCCTGGCCCAAGAGGACTACCTGGAGAACTTGGACAGAAAGGAGAAAGAGGGGCATTTGGACCTGTTGGACCAGAAGGTCCTTCAGGTAATATTTTATATTATCTGATATTATTTATATTGTTTATATTGATCACTATATTGATCTATTACATCAAATTATATAAAATTAAAATTAAGTTACTGCAAAAGATTAATGCTAATCTATTAACATATATAATTTCAACATTAGTAATTTATTTAAATTAATGTTTTTTCTTTGAATTTATTTGTTGCAGGACGTATTGGAGAACGTGGTTTACAAGGAGAAGTTGGTCCTCCTGGTGCCCCCGGAGAACCAGCAGAACGAGGTGATCCAGGTCCACCAGGTCCTACTGGTGAGCCTGGGGCTCCTGGAAATCCAGGAGAGAGAGGTCTTCAAGGATTGCAAGGATTACAGGGTTTCCCAGGTCCACAAGGATTAATAGGACTTCCTGGTTTGAAGGGTGATCGCGGCTATCCGGGCTTAAAAGGAGAACAAGGGAATCCGGGACTACCTGGTAATGAAAAGTTATCTTTAAGTTATTTCAAAGTTGAAAAATGAATAAAATCGCTTTTAAATTATACAGATAATTATCTTATGCAATTTATGTAAATAGCATTGATTAATAGGCAGTCCAGGTGAAGTTGGACTACAAGGGCTTACTGGACTTACTGGTGCTAAAGGAATTAGAGGCGAACCGGGTGTACGAGGTGAATCTGGTTTAATGGGGCCACCTGGCATTATGGGACAAGTTGGTCCAGCGGTAAATTGTTATAATTATCTTATTTTATAATATTATAATTATCTTGTTTCAATGGAAAAGAAATGATAGATGGACCTATCCATTTATTCTGAGCATTTTACAATAATAAAGATATGTACATTATCGGAAACCACGATTAAAAATGTTTCAGGGCCCACCAGGAAATGTAGGGCCATCTGGTGCTCCAGGATTAATTGGTATAAAAGGCAACGCGGGTGATGTTGGGCGTCCTGGAATTCCAGGTCCTATTGGTAATCCTGGCCCACCCGGAATAGATGGAAATAAAGGAGAAAATGGATCTCCAGGGTCCCAAGGACCAGCTGGCCCTCAAGGACCACAAGGTACACCTGGTGAAAGAGGTTTGCCAGGTTTACCCGGTTCTCCTGGTTTCATAGGAAATAGAGGACTACGTGGAGTACCTGTAAGCAAAAATTCTTTGTTAAACTGAAATTATTTTGTAGAATTATTGTATAGTTCATTAATTTTTAAATTCATTGTTTATCACAGGGTGAAACTGGACAACCAGGAAAACCAGGAGCGGAAGGACCACCTGGACCACCTGGCGTAGTAGGTCCTCCTGGTCTTTCTGGTCACATAGGAGAAGCAGGACCAGAAGGACCGGTTGGAAAACCAGGACCGCCGGGAATAGGTGGTCGACCTGGAGATAAGGGACCGCCTGGTATATCTGGCGCAACAGGCCCATCTGGTCCTACTGGATTACCAGTATTTTCTATTCAATTTTTACGCGATTTAAACAATATCATGAAAAATTATATCAATAGTTATGAATTTATATGCATTCGTTCCAACAGGGACCACCTGGACAAACAGGGTCTACAGGATTTCCCGGAGAACGCGGGTCAAAAGGAGAAGCGGGTCCACAAGGTGTGGAAGGTCCACAAGTAATACAAATTAATTCTATGCTATTTTTTATTATATCAATTAAGTAATAGTAAATTAATAGAGTTTTTAATTTTCAGGGACCACGAGGAAAACCCGGTCCAGCGGGCCTCGAAGGGGTAAAAGGTGATCGCGGAGAAGAAGGACAGAAGGGTTCTAAGGGACATCGTGGATTCAATGGTTTGCAAGGATTGTCTGGATCTCCTGGATTACCAGGAGAAAAGGGTATGCCCGGTTTGCCAGGACTTCCCGGTAAAGATGGAGAACCTGGGATCAGAGGTAATCCTGGACGAGATGGTAGTCCAGGGCCCATCGGGCTTCTAGGAAATCCTGGACCAAGAGGTCCATCTGGGGAAGAAGGACGTCATGGATCACCAGGTCCTCCAGGACCTCCTGGCCCACCTGGTCCACCCGGAGAACTTGGTTTCGGATACGATGCTGCATCTTTAGCAGCACTTATAGGTTAAGTTTAATTAATTCAAAAGACAATGTACACTTGCCATTGAGTTTCGCACAATGTAAAACTCTAAAGCATTTTAAATATTTAAAAAATGCTTTTAAAATATTGTTTAACCTTTATATATGTTTATATTTTAACATATAAGTTACATTTTTAATTATATTTTAAATACATTTTAAGGTATTAAGGAATATTAATCTTGATATTTTTCTTAATTTTGTAATACACAGGACAAGGCCAAACTAAAGGACCAGATCCACTTGGCGATGAACCACCGAGGATATTTGGTAAAGATATCACTGAAGAAGAAAGAAGAGAATTACTTCAGAAAGCTTACGAAAATTTAAAATCCTCTTTTCAAAAATTGGTGAAACCGGATGGTCAAAAGAATTCACCGGCTAAAACCTGTCGAGATTTATTTGTCGCGTACCCAGATAAATTATCCGGTAAGTTTTTGATGATAACTGCACATAGTGCCTATACAAAGATTACCACATTCACTTTTTCATTCATAATATTTCAAAATAGTTAAAGTAACATAAATTTTTGATACATATGATTCATATGTAACAGGTGAATACTGGATTGATCCGAATGAAGGGGATATCCGGGATGCAATTTTGGTGTATTGCGATGCTAAGAAACGCGCTACTTGCCTTTTACCAAATCCTCCTCGTTCACCGGAGATCAATTATATCACTGATCAACAAGAAACTTGGCTCAGCGAGATAGAAGGCGGCATGAAGGTTGTTTTATACTTTTTATACATTTCATAATCTTGTGTTAATTATTATGTAAAAAAATATATAAAAAGTCTTCATAAATTTATGTTAACATATTCAACTTTTGCATTCAGATCACATACAAGGCGGATAGCAATCAGATTAGTTTCTTGCAACTGCTCTCGAAACACGCGCAACAAAACATCACGTATCACTGTAAAAATAGCGTGGCATACTTTGATTACGAGCGAAAAACGTACAGAAGGGGCTTGAAGCTCCTGGCTTGGAACGACGTCGAGCTGACACCGCGGGGCAATCAACGTCACAGATATGAGATGATGATGGACGAGTGTAAGGTAAATCATTTTTTTTTCATTCGATTCTCTTAATATAGTTTTAATAATAATTATCTAAACAACCATATATTACGTTCTATTTCTCTGTGATATATAAATTATATATATAATAGTTTCGGAATAATAATCGATAAATTATATATTCGTAAAATTTATAGGTGCATCAAGATCACTGGGGTAAAACTATTGTTTCATATGAGACGGACAAACCCATAAGGCTTCCCATCCTAGACATGGCTTTACGTGACATCGGGCGACCCGAACAGAGTTTCTCCGTCGAGATCGGCGCAGCTTGTTACGAATAACGCAAGGTGTAACGATGCAACACGACATTGCAATTGTTATCTTACTACGAGCATCGTTTTTTATTGCTAAGGAAACGAAGTCTTCCAGTATGTCTTAAGGGTACTTAAGAACCCCTGACGACTTTAATGCTATTTCTATCTTTTTTTACAGGTTTATACAGTACTCTAGCAATTAAACGTTACTTAACTTAATCCGCGTTGGTCTGTATTGTACACGTTGCTGTTATTTCATTCAAGAGTTCTCGAATAGCGACAGTAATTTAGAAATACCTAGAAACAATTATCTGTAAGCTATATTGCACCTCTTACATTCCAAGACGGAGCTGCAAATCGATAAATTATATCCGTGATGTTACAACTGAACAATTTAATAGCCACAGAATTATCCGGATATTTTTTTTCTCTTAGATTTCGCTCGTGAGTGCTATAAACCTGGATATTTCTGGACATAAAAATATATCGCGTAAGCGCGAGTCTAAATGCGCACGATGTCAAAATATTGTGTACATAATAATAGATAAGTTCTATTTACGTCGCTTTTACTTGCGCAGCTATCTGTAGAAATACAATTGTATATGCATAATGAAATTTACAGTCAACATGTTTTCATTCTATATACTTAAAAACATCTTGCACAATTTTTCTTGCAAATTCATAGCTTTGCGTGTTTTTTCATTTCTTGCTTATATGTTAATGATGAAACATAATACAGTCCTTGTATTCTCTCTAAACATACTCTTAGAATAGACAACAGTCTTTTCTATAACTTTTATCTTTGAATTCTTTTCAAAGCAAAAATACATTTTACTTTCAATATAAAAGCAAAAGAAAAAAAAAGAGAGTAATCGTTAAAAAGAAATGGACTCTGCTTGATTACATGATGTTAGTATTTTAATGTTTGATTACCTACATGAAAAACTTTATATTTCCTAATCAAATTCATCATATTTCGATACTCGTGCGTCACGATTATGGAGTAAAAGGCGCAAAATCTTACCTTTTTCAAAGCTATTAAATTGTTGCAAACATTTGTTATTTTTTAATTAAATTCTCGTAGGAAGTTGGGTGTTGAGAGCAAAATAGGGGCAGATCTCGTTAAGAGTTTCTAAAGCCTTGTGTCCACGATGCTAGAAATCAGTCCGAGATCTTGATCCGAGAAATGTGTAACCAATTAAATTGTCGCCTTTCCGTGAAAGCTGCAAATGAATTGGTTGTTTTTTTCTTGAATCTAGATCTCAGGTCAATTTCTAGCATCGTGGACACAAAGCTTAAGAACATACCGAATCGATATTGTTCACGATTTTATTCGTGAAAATTATTAACTCTTCAAAATTCTATCTTCTGCTTGGTTTGAAAAACACGTGAAACGTGCACTTTTTGCACCAAGATAATATAATTTATTAAGGCCCCTCGCATTGTCTATCTCTTTTTAATAACGTCAGAAGCGAGAAAATGCATGCTAAAAATTTTTGTGAAATACGTTGAAATAAAAATATATATCCATAAAGTAACACTTGCAATCGATTAAACAAATTTGTAAGATATTCCGTGCACTGCTCTTTTGCTTTAGGAATCAATAATTTATTGTAAATTAACTTGAATAGAAATAGGCGAAGAAATAGGTTAAGAAGATGAATTGTATGACATTAATTTACGATAAATTATTGATTATTAGAGCAAAAAGGAAGTGCAAAAAGGAAATATCTTATAAATTTAATCGATTGTGTAATTTTATAGATGTACATTTTTATTTTAACGTATTTCACAAGAATTTTTAGCATATATTTTCTCGCTTCTGACGTTATTAAAAAGAGATAGACAATGCGTGAGGTCAGGAGCCTTAAACAGACACATTTGATGCGAAACCACAATGAGAAGGCATCGGCTGCGTTTAGCAAGAAAAAACTGCTTTGCAATTGTATAAAATTTATGAATTTGATTGGCATGTGCTTTTAATTTTGTATCTAGAAAGCATATACTAGTCAGACTTATGAATTTTATATTTACAAAGCAGTTTTGCCTGCCAAACGCAAGCATCAATGACGGTCAATGTGCACGTTGCTACTTATGGAGGTACATAGGACGTCACAAATGCCTCTACGCATAAGGTGCAACACCCTCGTGGCGAAAGGGAGTAACTTCGTGACGCGCGGCACGTATCTCGCTCAGTAGCGTTCCAACCATTTGTGGTGTTTGATCGTGCCGTTGCTTGTTCGAACACTGCCGACACTCCCGCACTTGTTCGAGCGAACTTTTTGCCTACGGAGCTGCCAGCATCGCACTACGCGGCGACGATTGTACTTGCGCTTGTCGAACGTAATGTCAAAGTTATACCTGAAGTTTCGCATCGGAATATAAGTGGTGACAGTTTACTTCGTTTTTAGGCCCGCTCACGTCCCGCTTCGGAAGTCCTGCTTCCTTTCCGGATTATCGATCGTCGTGGGCCGTTTTCGCGCGCAATTTCGCGAGCAACAAGCACGGGGAGAAAAAGCGGGGCGGCGGTAATTGAGGTTAGTCACGCTTTCTATTTCGCCGTAAATGAGGTCCTTTTATCATTGGCGGTTCCGTCGTCAAATGCTCTTTGGACAGTCAGTCAGTCGCGTTTAATCGTTGTGATTGCCTTGATTGGCGAGAGAACGACTCGCATAACTCGGGTAACTTGGAGTGGTATTTCGGTGCCGGTCGAACGTTGCAGTCTCACGTTCCGACAATTTCAAAAATTTGTACGATACGCGTAACTTTGATGCTTGTATTGACGATCCTGAACGATCCTGAACGTAATAAAATCTTGTAAAATCGAAGATACCTATGAAGAGGTATGCATCTTCACAGAAAGAATTTACTAAACGCGAAAATTTACATTGACACAAAAGAAAATTGTGAATTTATCGTTGACTTTTTCGATGCAGATTTCATCATTAGAGCTTCGAGTGATTCTTGTGGATTTTATTAGTGATATTCTGTCGCGTGAGAAAAATGTGATATCAATGACGCAATACTTTCGTACAGTTAATTACGCTCATTGTGTGAATTGCATAAGATTGGGAGTAACTGGCATATTTTTCTCTCTCTCTTTCTTTATGTGAACAAAGTCACAAAGAGCCGAGATATTTGATGTAGTGTAGAGTTAACGTGCAATATCGTTACGACCAATGCATCTGAAAATTTATCTGATACTGATAGATTATCTTACCTGATTGAAATAATCGTTGTTGACAAAATATCTCGGCGTGTAGACAGTGGCTCGCAAATATTGCAGCATGTCATCAGGAGCTAGCAGATTGTAATTAATTTTGATGAATCGTTTGCAGACACGTTCCCGAAGCGATCCATGCCATTGGATATTGTTTATGGATGTAAGAGCTGTATTCGGTAGGTTATATCCGATGGAGACACTTTGAAAAGTTGAGCATTGTTGACGATTAGGAGAATAATAGGCGCGGTGAATAAACGATCAAGGATTACGGAATAATTGAAGTATCCGGTACATAGTAATTCTATAGCGCGATAATGCGCTTCCTTTCCTGCGATAGAACTCGTGACAGTATCTATTTGCAGTATTTAACATGAATATTCGGATATTTATAGAAATGCATGTCTATGAATATATCTGTATAATTCTAATCTTTTTTAAATGTTTTCTGTTTAATAGAATTTTGTGGTAAATTTTTTCATGAATTACAGATTGTTTAAAATAAACCACACAGACGAGTTACGAAGTAGCGATTTCTAACGCAACATTTTTAAATTCTTAAATTAATATTTTATGTTGTATCACTTAGCATGGATTATAAGTATCTGTGCATTCTTAAATTAATATTTTATGTTGTAGCACTTAGCATGGATCATAAGTGTCTGTGCATCGTTTGTCTTCACGATAGATAATAACGCGGAATCAGAAAACCGTGACGCGCGCTACAACGTTAAAGGGCCTTGGCAGATTTAGCATTCGTTATAGCTTGAAGATCGCGACCTGTCAGTTCTCCTAATCTTTTACGGGCACGGAGTATAAAAGTAAACGAAAAGAATCGGTGGAGTTGTATGTCACGAGCTCTCTCCTTATCAGTTAAACGTAACGCTCGAAAAAACGGCTCGTGGTTACTTTACTGATGTTGCGTCAGTTCGCCGACTCGCGTGATCCACGCTTTCGCAAGCTCCGCGGTCGATTCTCAGCGATCCCACTGATCCTGCCTCCCTGACTTGATATGTTTCTTTGATTTTCAGTCGGCGGAGCACGTGCGCGCGCCACAACATTGCGAAAAACCCGGGCGATTCTAATACCAGCGAGCGCCATTAAATATAGCACTGGCTTACGTGCGTGAGACTGTGACAGCAGGTGTCGCGTGTTTTTCGACAGTGTCTACGTAGAAGACGTACGCGTGACCGTCCTCAAAGCGACGCGGTCAACGTGCGTCACCCACCACGCGGAGGAGACCGAAAAAAGCGGGAGGCACGACGAGCGTCGACTTCGAACTGTGTGAGCTGGCGGGATGACGCAACACGGTCGGGGCCAATAGTCGGCGAAATCGATCGAATACACCGAAAAGCAGAAAGCAAGCGAACCTCAGTTGCAAATCGGACCCTTCCAAGTCGACGACGTGTCACGTCACATCGCATCGCATCGTTTCGCGGCTGGTCGGCGGCGGCAGAGTTCAAACAGCAGAACGGCAGAACCTCTTCCTTTCGTAGAGGTGGATCGCTAATCGTCTCGCGTTCTTACGCCGATACAGATTTGACGAGTGTTCACCACGAGCGGCGAGAATGGCTCTCTTCCGGAAATTCAACGGTAAGTGCTTGTCAATTGAGCGGCAGTTGCTCGCTCCGACTCATCCGATTCCATCTGCGTTCCATTACTTCACTGTTATTGCAATCTGTTGTAGTTTTTAGACATGTTCTCTATCGCGGAGGCTGTATTCGGTATGATAAAACTGTAGGCGGTATAGCTTCGCAGAGACACCGTGTAATATTGTGCGGTTATAATAATATCGAAATTACTGATGAAGAAATTATTGACGTTAAACACATGAAAATCTATCTTACCTGTTCAGTTTCTCGTAGCTGGATCCTTCGCTGATAAATATCCAGATCGTTTTTGTGTGCGCAAAACGTCGCAGTGTAAACTTTACGTGCTTATAGCACGTGGAATGCAAAGCGGGAACTATACCTGCTTCTTAAGTTCTGTTATGGAATGCCCGTATTGAGTTTCACCGATAGTATTGACAACGTTCAATATCTTTGTCGATGTAGATCGACGAGAATCCTTCGAACTTCGGTAAACACATTGCGAAGTCTCTAATTATACACTCTATTGCGTGCCTAAATATAGAGCAAGAATAATGACAAAGTGAGCCGAGTAGAGTTAATTATATATAGTAGAGCTAATTGTATGTAAGCATCGTACGTTGTACTTTGATATCCTTCGTGATTCGATAGGAACGAGCTGCTATTCATGCCGGAACAATTTCTGTTTTATTCTAAAAATGTCAATGAAAAATAGACCGTCCTCTCACTCACGTAACTTTTGCACAACGTATTGAGCAGCTTTATTACGTGGTGTCCATAAATATCTTGACGATTTGCGCAACTTTACATGAACACCCATAATGTTCGAGTTTTTCATCATGATAAGTGTCGTTAGCAATTGATGATAAGGATTACATAATCGCTCATGAAAAAAAAGCGTCGCAGTGATAGATAGCCAACGCGTGCGATATCGGCACGATGCCTGCGTTTTTCTACACGTCATTCTGTTCTCCAACGGAAATTCAAATTAGCAAACATTGCGCATCGCATTATGCATCCGCGCAAAGTCGCATTGTGCGCTCCCGTATTCCATTTTCCCAAGCCTGTTTTACTCGCGCGTTCGTTCGTTCGTTCGTTCGTTCGTTTCATTCGCGTGTCTCAATCTCATACAAACTACCTGTAACTCGAACCGCTATTTCGCACGTACCTCGCAGAAATAGACTACAGAACAACCACACGTCGCTCATGTAACATGTTCACGTCGTTCGACGTTGGCGTTTTTTTCCGTTTCAAAAAAAAATCAGAAAACGCACGAGATTTATCTTATGCATAATTTATCGGGGTCGATTGACGTTTTTCAAAGAAGTCTTGGTCTTAGTGATGTAGCATTTGACAAATCCGAAGTCATTTCGATGAGATGAATGAATGATAAAAGATAATTTTAATTGATTAAAAATAATTTTAGAGTCATTATCTTTTTTTTTCACGGTTTTACCATTTCCCAACGTCGGATATTTTAACGAGAGAATTTTTTCAATTCTAACACACGTGCAGCGCGCTAAACTGAAAAAGAAGTTTCATTTTCCGTGCAAGTATATCCGCGAAATGACATTTCGTGAACTTCTATCTAACTTGTATCCAAGAAACAGATGATTACGCATGACAGATTCTGGGCAAGGCTACACGAGTTTATTTCGCTAATGAGGTTAATGACTCATAGACGCGTACAAATTTCTTAACAATTACCGGTGTAACAATTAAATGTGACAGTATATCATAGTTCAGTATGTCAGCTTGCAGCAAAAATATTTTCCACGTAAAAAATCTGCGAAATAAATATTATCTGGTAATAAAATATTATCATGCGCATAACACTCGGCTCATTGGCGCATGATTACTATGCAGTTAAAAAAAAATAGAAAAGGATTATGCAACTCAAGAAATGATGACTTGAAATATCGCTTATTTTGACGTTCCGCCAAATCATTGTATTTGCATTTTGTTTTTGCTACTTTGAGGTGTAGTATTCACTCGTATTTCTGTACGTCATTACGTAGTTGCATTTTATAGTAGATAGCGCGTTACTTTAGCGAGATAATGAGTTCGTTTTTCATGCTGGCAGCGTATCATTCCTTGGCCTTTGTCCACGCCACTAGGCCGAAAGACAATAACACGGAAATCGTTCGATAAATATGATAATCGAAATGATTTTTTTAGAAATATTAATGCACGCAAACTGAACTATATTAAATCGCTTGTCGCGCAAAGTTGTGTAAAATTGAAATTTTATGTCAAGGCGAAAATTTGTCGAATAAGCGACGATGAAAACGCACAATTACATTTGATTTATGATCGGATTAATCGACGTAATTTAACGATTGGAGAATGTAATTGTTTTGCTGCACACTGTCGCGAAACTACGATATCTTCTCTCACAGAGACATTAGGCTTTGAGTGTTAAGAAAAATGTTGACAGTCAATGCCAAGAGATAATACTTACAATGTTATGTAACATTGGATATTTTTGCCGAAGTATTCTCGAGACTCGAATCGAGAATAGTTGGCTGGATGTCGAGTATTTTTAGTTTTCTAATTAAAGGTACTTCCCTTTTGATCGGTTCCAAAAATAATAGTGTCGCGTGTCTTAATAAATCTGAATGGAAATCCGACTCAACTGCCCAATCACTCGCACATTAGAGAGAATACAAGCCACAGCAAATTATGTCCGTTCATCCGTTCAACGTTCTTTCGTTCGAAGAATCTGTAAGCGCACGACTGTTCCTCGCGATTTCTGTGTCAGTAATAGCTCGTACCAGAATGCGGAAGCAATGTATGTTAAGCCGAGTCGGCTTAATCTCCGGTAACAACTGTGATTTAGCAACGGAAGCGTGTCGTATCATACAATGTGGGAAGTTAAGGGAGCGCATTATTGATTCGATTTTCGCATCGCGCCAGGTAATTATCAGCGGTCTAACGAGACGTAACTGCTTGCCGTGACCTTTTGAAGTTTATAAGCTGCGATGCTTCTCCTTGAACGAGATTTTCTTGAAATATGGTCAGGGTTGGTTGCGAGTACAAACAAGTCGCACATTTCAAGTGCGCACTTTTAAGTAACTTCACGATTCGAGCAATGAAGCATTTATTATCGACACATTGTTGTCAACAATTTATAGAAATTGTTAATCATATCAGTGTAATGAGATGCGCTGACAATTCAGATTATAAAATTTAAGCAAACAGCTTTTTTTATATTAAAATTTTATAAGATTTAATTTTTTGTTCAGTGTGTTAAATCTTAAATTATATAATATGTTATTATAACATATTTTCTAGTATAAAATCCGAGTTTAAATTGTATTGGAAACGATAGAAAAATAATTCGAGATTGATGCGATCCAAGCAATCCTTCCGCTGTTGGTGGAATAATTCTTATTTTTTATGTATCGACGACACGATATTGCACGCGAACACGCGAATGCAGCTGCATTTGATATTATGTACATAATAGAACAAGATGAGATGTTGGCTATGGGAGATACGTCATTCATTCTTGATTTAAAATTATTAGGCATTACGCGCTGAATTCAAAGGTCAGACTCGCAACTCGCTTCACAGCAAGACAAGCAGAAGTGCCTTGCTTTACGATGTTCATGCTTGTCTGTTATTTAAATGTAAAGTCTACGCTCAAGTAGCTCGATTAGCTCATCAGAATTAATATAGGAATCTAAATAATATTTGTATTTAACTACAATACAATGAGTTGTATAATATTATAATTTAAAGAAAATATATCAAATGTCAGGATATTTTTCGATGAGAGTTTTAAATAGCAGTTATGCACAACCATATTGTCACTAAAGTTACATCAACGTTGAAAGCGGAAGTTATCTATTTCATATTGTTAACTATAACGATAAATTGTACCATCGAAACAATATTATGATGTTACTTGTATCACAAAGTATTGTAAGTAACATGATTGATTTTTCACAATTTACAGAGAGAATCCCACGGAGGGCAATCCTCGGGGCGATGATGTTCTTGGCTTGTATGTTCTCATATGTTATCCGCACTAATTTATCTATATCCATCGTCGCCATGGTGAACGCCACTAGCAAATATGGTAGTACCGGACCTGCATGCAGCGCAATGGATTTGAAGAGCAACAAGTCTGTCGACCTCAAAGATGTAGGTTGCATGATCAGATAGCTATATCAATATAGATAGTTCTATCGTGAATAGAATGTCTGAAAAAATCATTACGAAATATAGATACGATTTTGTTTGTGTTTCAGTTTGGTGAACGATACGAGTGGAACCAACATATTCAAGGTCTGCTGTTATCAGGATATTTTTATGGTGTGCTACCGGCTAGTGTTCCAGCTGGGCTTCTGGCAGAGAAATACGGAGGCTCCAAAGTAGTGGCGTAAGTATAATTGAATAAGATTAACAATAGAGAAAAAATCAAGAGAAACACAACATTCGTTGATCTATTATCTGTTGTTATTGCGCTTATCTTTTACCTTTTGCGATATAGATTTGCCACACTGATACCTGCAGTATTGAATCTTCTGATGCCATGGGCCGCTGGTGTTCATTACGGTTTTGTATTCGCGCTTCGCTTCGTGATGGGATTTTTCGGGGTAAGTCGTTGATTACTCCATACGCGTCTCATTTGGATATATCTTTTGAGATCGCTATATTTTATATTTATCGTTTTTGATTTCTTACGCAATTATTTCTGTCTAATTCTGTAGATCCTAATGGATGTTTTTCTTATCGTAATTTCTTATCATTCTTCATCGTTTTTTTTATCGCGATTATATCATTATATTTTCTTAGATAACTATTAACTGTTATTATCTTCCAAATTGATTGGTTGGCTCTTCATTAAGAATGGTGTGGAATTTTTCAGGGTGCTGTTTATCCCGCTTTACACGCGATGATCGCTAGGTGGGTGCCACCTGGTGAGAAGGGTATGTTCGTATGGACTATGCAAGGTACGACTTTTTTGGATTTTTCTTTTCAAATAGAAAATCTTGAGAGGATATATATTCATGTCATGTGTTACTTCAGGTGGTCCATTTGGAACCGTCGTGACATTCGCTTTATGCGGTGCAGTAATCAGCGCTTACGGATGGAAAGCTGCGTTCTACGTTACAAGCACTCTCATGTTAGTTTTCTATGTTTTATGGGTGTTCTTGGTATACGATACGCCGGATCTGCACCCGGGAATCACAGAGAAAGAGAAGACGTACATAAAAGAACAAATAGGTACTTCTGTTTCAAAACAAAAGGTACATATACCGAGATTGTATAAAGATATTATTATATTTTTCGAATAATTTATGTAAAATGCATGCATGCGTGCGTATACATTCAGCCAATATTTTGCTCAATAACGAATTAATTAAAAAGTAGAAGATAATAATATATGTTGTTATATATTACTTATTGATATATTACACACAGGTTCAACTACCGGTGAAAGCAGTTGCCACGTCAGCACCATTCTTAGTACTACTATGGGCTCACTTTGCTAATATGTGGGGTATTTACTTTATCGCTACCAACGGACCCAAATATACGCTGGAAGTTCTGGGCTTCAATATGAAATCGGTACTGTATTGTATGGATTGCGACAGTTCATATTGCAGAAAGACAACTCGACAAAATTCTAACATTATTTTAATTTTGTAAATAACGATTGCTAACAATGTGTTTCAAATATTTTTCTACAGGGTGGCGCGATAACTGGATTACCTTACATAGCTAGACTTGGCGCTGGAGTGTTATTCGCAGCAGCAGGTGATTACGTGCGAAGGAAAGGTGTTTTATCTCTGGGTTGGATCAGAAAAATTTTCATGCTTTTCTGTAAGTAATCAATCATTCGTCTTGATGCAGAAATTGAAATTTAATAGGAACAAATTCATACGAACGAACAAATATCAAATAAACGTACGACTGTTAACAGCTCACCTGGGACCTGCAGCTTGTCTAGTAGTAATGACATATGTGGGTTGTGATGCCACAACTGCAATAATAATGTTAATATTGGCACTGGCCTTCAATGGGGCTGCATGCCAAACCAGTTTACAAAATCATCAAGATTTAGCACCGAACTACGCTGGTTCTTTGTACGGAATTATGAATACTTTTGGTAGTTTTCCTGGATTTATTATTCCACCGATTATCGGCGCTCTAACCAACGAAAGGGTACGTTATCTTTTCACAGAAAATCTATCATACATATAAGCTGTATCGAAACTATCGTATTATACTTTAATAGTGCATTATGTAACGTAATTAGAGTAACAAATTCTAATACAAAAGTAGATCGCAGTAATTTTCGAGTTGTAAGTGATCAAAGTTAGTACATCGCATTTTGCGTGTTTAAACCCGTTACTATGCAAGTATCGATCTCTGTCATACTTTTACGTGTCATATGTTCATTCTCGCGCTCAGCTGATATTGATTTTCGCAGCTCAGCTGATTTCTTCGTTTGCTTTCTTATGTTACCTTTCATCATATTGTAGAACGGCGTTGAGGAATGGCGTATAATGTTTTGGATATCAGCGGTAGTGTTCATTTCGGCAACGGTGCTCTTCTGGTTGTTTGGGTCGGCAGAAATTCAACCGTGGAATGATTCGACGCACACCAAGGTGCCCACTATCTCTGACGAGGAGAGGCGGATAAACGAGACGACGACAAAAGATACGGTCGCTGAGGAAACTGAAGAAAATGAACGTCTTTAGTGACTTAGGAAATAAAATGAAAAAGATGCGTGCGTGTGTGTATAAATTAATAGTCTAATATTAGAAGGAGCGCCTCTGAAGTTGTCGCAAATCTTGACCTAGCTGACAGAACGTTACAATAATATTTTGTAGACGGTTGCGACCCATATTTATATAGCTTCTGGTTATTACCTGTTATGGATATGAGGCAATCGTCACGCTATCAACCAAAATTAAAAATTCGAAACATGAGGAAGAGATAAATTTAAGATACTTTTCCTCCGATTAAGGGATTAGGCTACTGTAACATAAAAAATATATTTATATTTTATAATATATATATATATATATATATATATATATATATATATATATATATATATATAATCTATGTATAGATTATAAAAATCAAGCATACATAGAAATTTGAAGATCAATTTTAGGAATTTATTAATCTTATTTTTATTATTTTCTTATTATAAAACTCTGTAGATATATTTTAAGTGTCTATCTATAATTCTAGAATAATATTTGCAAAACATAATTTTTTAGAAAATATAAAAAAAAAAAAAAATAGAAAAAGAACTTTAAACTTATACAGTGGCCTAATCCATCAACGAATACACGTTCTTAGAGTATCATGACGGATCTTTCATCTTGATGTGATTCCTAGATACAGAATTATTTTTTCATGTTCTTTTTTTTTTACTCTTATTATATAAGACTGTAGAACGCACCCGGGTGATAAAACATGGATTTTACACTTTTCATGATTTTCACGCGTTTATATTCGTCTTGAATATTTAATTTATACATTCGATATTATACTCTTATCATTCATGTCACATGAATCACTTGAAAACATTATGGTTGTGTCATCGAATGGTTAATAAAAGTTCTACAGACTTATATGGCATTCAAGCAATGCAATGTATAAAAACGGAAGAATACTCTGTAGTGCATTTTTTGATTTCGTGCCAAAGTACGTGTATATCGCACTCGTTAAAGCTCGACGAAACTGTCGAAGTGTCTTAGGTCGAGGAATCTTGGCGTTGTCTTCGGGCCAGTAAACGGCCGAGGTTAGTCGATATTATAAATATTTCATGTTAGGTATATTAAATCGTTGCAGATAACTCTCGTTATACGCGATCGCGCCTGGTGCGGTTTCCTTGCGGCGCGATTTCGTAACTGCGATTAATATTCGCAATAATTTACGTACGCTAAAGTCTCGTGCTTCAGTGCGTGGTCAACGGCCTCGGTTCTCCTGTAGGTCACGTAGCATCTCAAAGGGCATTTTGAGTAGATCGAGTCGCATTGCGCAATCTCGCTTTGCGTAATAATTATTTCGACTTAATCGCGTGTAACGAGGAATTCTTGTATAATCCTCTCATCTTTTACGAGCGCTCAAATCACGAAACTTCATTGTTGTGATAAGAATAACTCGTCTTCTAATCTCTCTATTCATCTCTCTTTATTCATGAAAATAGACATTTGCTTTATCTTTAATGTTCGTGAGAGATCGTGCTATAATTCTCAGGTCTAATTGCATGCATCCAGCCGATGCAGGTAAGGAGATATTATGCTCGTAAATAGGGAAAAATGAAATACATTACGTTTATAAATTGTGACGAGGATTACTCATATGTTAGTAACTGTTATACGCGTGCTCATTGTAGTGAATTGAGAAATGATCAATGTATTGTTCTTATATCTGATAAAAAATTAATGTTCAAACTGTATTTTCGGCACGTCGTTTGCCGTTCTATCAGTAATAACGTTATTGTAAGAACTTACGTGGAAGATTCCTTTAAAGCTGATATTTAGCAATAATCGTTGCGTGTGTTAATTATAAAAAAAAAAATAACACTAAGAATCGTTGTTTTAAGGTTATAACACATTGTAGTAGACGTATGTGCGCATGCCATATTTATCAATGATCGAATTACAACTGTACATACGTTATTTATAAATCCAAATGGCATACCAAAATCACTGTAGTTTTTTTTATATTTACACTCTTATTTTAAATCTCATCTTTGTTGTTAAGTTAACAGCATTTGCTTTATAGATTTGATTATGTTACACAAGTTTTAGTGAATTCATATGTATGATGAATAATCGTATATTTTGTGCGTCGTTATTACGTAATAATAAAGAAAACTCACATGTATTCTCAAATGATCGAATTTATTACTATTTATTAGGTCGAGCAAAAGATTCGTATGTTTCTTTTCTTACACTAGTGATATAGAAAAGAAATAGACGAGTTTTTTTATTAAACCAATAAAGTTGCACTTATTTATTGTGTATATCATATATACATTCAATAAAAATCAAGAACAATTTATATTAAGATCCCTGGTTTCTCGCCACAGTTACTTCGATTTATAACGTTGATATGAGAAAATACACGTTAAAAAATTTTATAAAATGCATTGAAATAAAGTGATATGTTTACAAAATGATACTTGTAACTGATCAATTGGTAAAATTAACGTGACAAAATCATGAGAAGAAATAAGTTAAAAAGGAAAATGGAATGTGACATTAATTTTACAGTGATTTATTTATTGTTTGAACAAAAGGAAAGTGTTTGAGCTATTTTAATTTACTTGATTGATTGCAAATGTCATTTTATAGATACATCTTTTTATTTTAACGTATTTTGCAAGAATTTTTAGCATATATTTTTTCATTTCTGATGTCATTAATCATGAGTTTCGCGACGAGAAGCCAGGAATCTTAATATCTTTTTTTCACAGCGTGTTATTGTAAAAATCGTAGAAAAATATGATTTATGGTATTTTATGAAAAACACGAAACAATTTTACGATTACCTTCGATACGACACATGTGTGTGTCCATATTTATACACCGTTTACACAGACAATAAGTTTAACGCAAGATTTAACTCGACTGACCTTTGTTATTTTATCTGTTCTCAGGATTCCGATGAAGGCGACGTAAGAACACTTCTAAATTTATCGGCTCGCGGCCTCGCACGAATCTGGCTGTTAATATTAATAGGTTGTCCATGATGTCGATTCAGTAATGCACAATTTTCTACATTGCAAGACAAGTTGCTCTTGCTTATCTCGTCTTTAATGGGTAAGTGATGTTCCATCAACTTCACTAAGGATGCATCGGGGCAAATGTCGCGAGTGCAAAACGCATTCTTCAATATCCGCAACGCTTTCGTCGCTTGCGTGCTCAGAACGCTCTCGGGCTGGGAGGGCTTTTCGCAACAGGATGTTGATTTAGAAGATGATCTCGTTATGGAGCTTGTGGTAAAGGTGTTAGTTACTTTACTAGCGGAATCTGCTGTAAGTAATACTGCGTTAATCGAAATAATATATTACTATTTATTAGTAAAAATACGATAGTTAAATATACTGTACGTATGTTACAGAATTGAGAAATGGAAAGTTGACAAAAGAGAGAAGGAGCAAGTACCTTTGGGACACCAGGACCTGATCAATGTGTCGTCGATGACACGAGTCCATCCGCTGACGGAATCTACATTGTGTGCGAGAGATAAAGTCGAGGGATTAAAGAAGGCAAGAGGAACATACACTCAACAATATCATACACTCAGCGAAAAACGTGATAATGGCAACTACAAAATGACAACTATACGAGTTTAGTACATAGAATTATATAACGTATATAGTTATATAAATTTTACTTGCAATAACTATAGTTCATTAAACTATATATATTAATTTTACATATAAAACGCGTATAGTTGTATCACTTATGTAGTTGCCATCACCATGTATTCTTCTCTGAGTATAAAGAAATCTTAGGATTTTTTTGGAAAGATTAAATGTTCGTTGGATATCATTGCACCTCGGGCTTGGGTCCTTTTCTTCGGAGTCATGAGAACGTTGACAACGTCATTATCGCGAGCGACGCGTATCTCTTCTGGTCTTGGTTTTGTTGTACACTGCGAGATCGGTAATTGTGCGACGGTCGATTTTTCAATCTTCTTCTTCATCGCGCTACTTGATTGCAGATGTGGATTCTTCTCCTCCTCTGAAGCCGTGGCGATGACGTAGCATGGATTATACGCTAATAGTATATCCTGAGTGCGAAGTATCTTCGTATCTTCTTTCGGCAGCGTTAGATTTTTTTCCTGAGCTGTCAGGCACAGGTGGCATATCGATTCCCTGGCGCAAACCGAGCACAGGATATCCTTGGGCTTGAGTTTTGCGATTTCGGGTACCCCAGCGAGTTCCGTTTGCGTAGCGGCAGTCTCTGTGTGTTTCTTCATCATCAAAGCGGCGATTTTCTTCTTTCTTTGGAGAAATATTTGCTCAGTAGTTGGGCCTGTAAGTGAATTTTTATTATTAGTACTTCATTGATAAGTAAGGTAACTTATAGAATGGTTTGACGGTTTCAGTTATAACAAACTCAGCTGCAAAAATTGGAAAAAATCGAGTGGCATTCTGTATGCTTCTGCTGTTCAATCGAGTAAATCTCCAAGTAAAAATTTACTTACGCTGTGGCTGCTTCATAATTGCTTCGAGTTTGAAGCCGATTACGACTGCGCGTCTAATCGATGTGCAAAGGATATTCTTAATGACACGTTGAGCATTTCGAGAAACTACGTCGCATGTCAAACTCAACAAATCGTCTATTAGCGGTGCGACGACAATCGACGTTTCGAAAGGATCGATGACAGTGGACATTCTCAACCTCCTTAGCACGTCCTCATCACGTCTCACGTGGGACTTGTAACTGGCCACGGTTTGGATTAGTTGATCTTTCATGGGATATTTAATTATGTCTGCACCTTTAGTGACTATCTCATCGAGTAGGTCGTCAATTATGATCCGAGGTTCGATTGCTTGGATGAAGCATTGCTCCAGTTTGCTTCGTATAAAATTCTTTATTTCTTCATACTGGACGAGAAGCTGGCCGGTCGATAGCCTTGGCTCGCAAGTCAATTCGGTTTGGATGTCAGTGTCTATTATCACTTTGTTGCTAGTTTCATCGTAACGTACGTCGGTTTGCACTTCTTGATCTACCGTCTCGACCTTGATGTTGTAAAGAAGAGGATTGGTTGTCCAGAGTGTGCATTCTATAAGATAATCCAGGACCTCCTTCACTAACGTGTATTTGTCTACGGGATTTCCTGAAATTTTGTGCTCTTTTGTTTTACGCGAAGGTCCTGCGAGAGTTTGCACTGCTTCACGCGGTGCTTGAGGATTAATTGTTACGCAGGTTTGAGCCGCACGTTCTACCTTCTCTTTTGGCATCGGTTGTCGCATTATCTCTGAAGAAATTTGAGCTTTGAGGATCACGAATTAAAAGTTTACATATAAAATGTTATATGTCAAATATTATTATGTGTAATATATTAATTATTTATATATTATGTTACACATTCTTATACTTGCCTAGCTGTTCTCTTTCTGGTATGATACGAGCCGATAATACACGCATTGTCGCAATCGGTACTTCCTTGGTTTCGATTTTTTCTCCCACCATACGGGTGCCCATAAGTGTCGTAATAGTCGCAACATCCTTTCTTTTTTCTAATTCTGTCATAGTTAATTCCCATATGGCATAATATTTAGGACGAACTGGTGTTTTGCAACAGAAGTCTTTCTCGCATATGGAAAAATACTCAGAAAAATAGCTGACTTTGACCGTGCCCTTGATTATACATATGAAATCTTCTTTCCCAAATTTTCTCACCGTAATAAAAGTTTGACAACATTTTCTCTATGCGAAGGATACACCGACAAGTCTAATTAGTTCATTTTAAGCAATTATAAAACTTATGACAATTATAAATTGTTTCTATTAACTTTTATTTCGGATCTTTTAAAATATTAGGCTGGTGCAAAAGACAGAAAAATGGACTTGCACCACTGTCGACATAAACAGTTTATATATTGTTTTCCTATTAAATTTTAACATGAAGAAAG